AGTGATTACAGTGGTAGGGTTTGGAGTGAGTGTGAACCACGTGGTGTTTATAGAGGGAGGAGTACTCTGTAAACCGCTTACCACAACCGTGTACTGTACAAACGTATGGCTTCTCTCTTGTATAGAACAAAACATCACACTATATAGAGAGAGGAGTACTCTGTAAACCGCTTACCACAACCGTGTACTGTACAGACGTAAGGCTTCTCTCCTGTATAGAACAAAACATTACATCATATAGAAAAATAAAAAATCAAATAAATACTAGTATACCGTAGACTTTCGACTTCTCACCTCTATAGAAAAACAAAAAAAAAAAAAACAAAAACAAAAACAAAAAAAAAAACATCACATCATATAGAGAAATAAACTAGAAATATGTCCATAGGACATGAAAGCCCCGCCGAGGATATATCAGTAAAGCAACATGAAAATTTGTATGTGTTTAAAATTTGATCAGAATATCCAGAATAGTGATGCAGCTGAATTGCTTGCTTGGAAAATATCGGTCAAATCCAGCATCCGAAGCAAGTCTGGTAGTGTCCATCCCTAGATGCATCATCCATGCAAGTTTGGTTCAGGTAGGGCTTATAGATACTTGGGAATGAAAATATAGGTCAGATCCAGCATCCGAAGCAAGTCAGGTAGTGTCCATCCCTAGATGCATCATCCATGCAAGTTTGGTTCAGGTAGGACTTATAGTTACTTGGGAATGAAAATTTAGGTCAGATTCAGCATCCGAAGCAAGTTTGGTGGTGTCCATCCCTAGATGCATCATCCATGCAAGTTTTGTTCGGGTAGGACTTATAGTTACTTGGGAATAAAAATATAGGTCATATCCAGCATCCGAAGCAAGTCTGGTAGTGTCCATCCATAGATGCATCATCCATGCAAGTTTGGTTCAGGTAGGGCTTATAGTTACTTGGAAATGAAAATATAGGTCAGATCCAGCATCCGAAGCAAGTCTGGTAGTGTCCATCCAAAGATGCATCATCCATATAAGTTTGGTTCAGGTAGGGCTTATAGTTACTAAGGAATGAAAATATAGGTCAGATTCAGCATCCAAAGCAAGTCTGGTAGTGTCCATCCCTAGATGCATCATCCATGCAAGTTTGGTTCATGTAGGGCTTATAGATACTTGGGAATGAAAATATAGGTCAGATCCAGCATCCGAAGCAAGTCAGGTAGTGTCCATCCCTAGATGCATCATCCATGCAAGTTTGGTTCAGGTAGGACTTATAGTTACTTGGGAATGAAAATATAGGTCAGATCCAGCATCCGAAGCAAGTTTGGTGGTGTCCATCTCTAGATGCATCATCCATGCAAGTTTTGTTCAGGTAGGACTTATAGTTACTTGGGAATAAAAATATAGGTCATATCCAGCATCCGAAGCAAGTATGGTAGTGTCCATCCCTAGATGCATCATCCATGCAAGTTTGGTTCAGGTAGGGCTTATAGTTACTTGGAAATGAAAATATAGGTCAGATCCAGCATCCAAAGCAAGTCTGGTAGTGTCCATCCCTAGATGCATCATCCATATAAGTTTGGTTCCGGTAGGGCTTATAGTTACTAAGGAATGAAAATATAGGTCACATTCAGCATCCGAAGCAAGTTTGGTGGTGTCCATCCCTAGATGCATCATCCATGTAATTTTGGTTTAGGTAGGGCTTATAGTTACTTGGGAATGAAAATATAGGTCAGATCCAGCATCCGAAGCAAGTCTGGTAGTGTCCATCCCTAGATGCATCATCCATGCAAGTTTGGTCCAAGTAAGGCTTATAGTTCCTTAGGAATGGACCAGCTCTAAAAACTTTAACCTGGTCACTCATCTGAAAAATGTAGGTCAGATCCAGCATCCGAAGCAAGTCTGGTAGTGTCCATCCCTAGATTCATCATCCATGCAAGTTTGGTCCAAGTAGGGCTTATAGTTCCTTAGGAATGGACCTGTTCCTAAAACTTTTACCTGGTCACTCGTCTTGAAAATGTCAGTCAGATCCAGCATCCGAAGCAAGTCTGGTAGTGTTTATCCCTAGATGAACCATAGCTCTCATCAATATCTATCAGCATATGAAGTTTGATGAAAATATCTTGGATAGTTTCTTTGAAACTTAGCTTTGAACAGAGCTAAACGCAAAGTGTGACGGAAGGACGGAAGGACAGAAGGACAGAAGGACGGAAGGACGGAAGACGGACATGACAAACACTATATGCCCCGGCCATATTCATGGCGGGGCATAAAAATCAAGTTAGTCCTTTCCCACTTGCAGACAATTTTACCGTTTTAAATTCGCCCAATCATAAATTATATTGTATACTTTGAATTCGTCCCGTTTTAAATTAGGCTAAACTAGGTTAGGGTGAAAAGGAGTGAAAATAAAACGGGGGTGAAATTTTCCCTGTTTATAAAAAAAATAAAGAGTTGCACCATACAAAAGTGAGACTCTCCTGCATAGAAAGCAAAAGTAAATTAAACATTTGCTCTGTTTCAAATCTAGCTTAATTGGATGATAAATAAGAATGCTTATTCTTTCTTTACACAGATTTATATTAAAGTAAAGGTTTATTGTTAATACATGAAAATTCTATACAAATATTTTGTCACTTAAAATTCCATTTTGTGCAACTTTGAATAAAAAATTTAATACTACGCTGTAAAACTTCATTTTATTTATTAAAACATGTCTCACGTTGTTATTTTCAAATTTTTTTAAAAATAAGTTTGTTTGTATCATGTATCCTTATCCATATATTTAACTTCCAAATTGGCCCAGACTATAGATAGTTTTATTATCGTTTATTTGATTTAAATATTAACCCAGCTCCTTTTCTCGCCAGGCACAAAAACTTATTTGTTCATTATCTTAAGCTAAAAAATGGGAAACTTGTTGAAATATTTCTCATGTTTGGTAAGCATATATTTTTCACATTTTATCAAAATTGATACAGTTAGAATTACAACCAACCCATAAGCGATCTTTCCTAGGGATGTTGGTAAACCTACCCACTTCAGTATTAACATGAAAACCATGAATTAAATGCCACTCGCAAAAAGTTTTTCACTGTATTCATATGCACCCTTCAATAAGAGGAAATACCACGGCCAATTTTCAATCTTTACTTACTTTGATTATAATACAGTTCATTCTTACCCCTGTTAATAATCTGATTTAATAATACGAGGGTTGTTCGAAAAGTTCGTGGACTGGTTGGGTACTGACCGCTGTATTTGTATATTTGAAGTGAAACGTTGTATATCTTTATTATACCATGTTTCCAGTAAAACTACAACTTTTCAATTTTTTGGTCCATTAAATAAAAATTTTACAGCCGTTCTAATTTATTTAGCAGGGGGTCGCGGAGCATCCTCGTTTTCTGCGTATTTGAATATTTTAAGTCGATATTGTCATTACACATTTTTTTTTAAATTTTGCGCTCGAAAATCTATGATATTGAATATAAGATCACAATAATAGGCAATCGTCATATTTTAGAAGTTTCAGTTATTTTGAGCATGTGGTTCTCAAATTATCGATTTATAATGAAAGGGAACGGTCTAAATTCACGGTTAAAACGGCGTCAGAATTGGACGTCACAGAACAGAGCGCTGTTATAAAATTTTGTGTGGTAGCAGGACAGACTCCTTTTGAGACAAAACAATTGCTAGATGAATATGAGGATAGGTCAAAAGTATCATAATCAATGGTGTACAAGTAGAATAAACAATTTAAAGAAGGACGATGTGAAACTTGGGATGACAAAAAGTTAGAAAGACCTCCAACTATTGAATTTGACTTGACGGCGTCAATGTTACAAGATCTTGACAAAGATAGAAGATTAGCAATATGGAATAAGGCGGGTAAATTTGAAATAAGTACGTCTATAGCACATGAAATAATCACAAAATCTCTTGGATTTGAAAAGGTTTGTACTCGTTTGGTGCCGAAATTACTTTGATGCAAAAAATCGGTGGATCGTCGCATCGTTTCTAAGAAGATGCATGATTATTCATAAAACATAGCGAGGTAACGACGTCAAAAAAAAATTACGCCACAGTTGCTCCGCGGGCATTGGCAATGTATCATAAAAATTGATATAACTTTAATAAATGTAAGTAAAACTGACTGAAATTTTGCATCATTTCAAAATACATTATCATTTAATGTAATATACAAAATTTTTCGAATTGCAACATATCTTCGGAGAAATTACATCGTCCACAAACTTTTCGAACAACCCTCGTACATGTATTAATTAAAAATTCCAAATGTGAATCATTGTTACACGCTCTTCTTTTCTTCTTTTGAATTTACTTACTTTATTCGATCATCTGAATACTCATTAAAATTCTTGTGGGCCAATTTTCATGGATCGCTTAATTTTACATGTTTGTGGGGATTTAATTTTGTGTATCTCTTTTACCTCAAAAAAGGAAAAATGATTGTGCAATCCTAGTTTATTAATACGTGGAAGATTTTAATTCATGGATTAGAGGTACCCATGAAAACCAAACCACAAAGAAATCTATTGATTCTGCAAACTGCAGAAGTTTGTTCACTCCTCCATGACACCTGATCCCACCTGTACATTTTCTCTGCTCCTATTTTGTATTGTTTCATTGAGGTTTTCAGATTGAATGCTGTTCGTTATCTTCATTTTCATTAAAGATTCAAATCCTTTTCTTAGCTTAAATTAAATTGTCAAATTACTTTTCATACAAACATATACTTTATTCAGATTTCAGATGTATTAACACATTCAACCATTTAAATGAATTAATTCATCTTAATTTGATGTTGCATATAGTTTCAACAAATATATTTTATTATATATATTATAATTTTGAACAGTTGAATACTTCTAAAGTATAAATATTCTAGCTGAATCTAGCATGAGCCAGAACATGATATAAACGACTTCTATTTCAAGATGTAATGTTTAATGCTAATCTTGTAATAAACAAAGATATACACATTAAATAATGAAGATTGAATGTCTGAAATTTATTTCATGTATTGCATGACTTTCACTTCCCCTGAATCAAACAATTCTACCCACAACCTCCCCTCACTGTCCACATTCAATCCCATAGGATGCTCTAATTCACAATTATCCACACATCCCAGGAACTGTCCATTCTGATCTAGAATGTGTAGACAATTATTTATTTGATCAACCACAATGATGTGACCCATGGAGTCTGTCGCTATTTGTGTAGGAAAGAATGATTCCTTTCCCCCTGGAGGCTTGTTGTTGTATCGGAATCTGACTTTTCCTGTCCTGTCCACCACTACCACTGTGTCAGCATTACCATCAGAGGCCACTATGTCTCCATTGTTGTTCCCCACCACATACATCACATATTCCCCTCCTTGATAGATTGGATCCCCATGTTCATCTTTATCTATTTTCTGTGTCACCCTCTGTCCCTGATAACGGACTATTTTGCGATGACTATTATCAGTAGTACACATACTAACTACCATGTCCCCTGATATGGTACAGCACAGTCCCTCAGGATGCCAGCCCCTTGGTGTGGTGATCATTGTCTCTGTCTTCCCATTTCTGACAATGTTCACAGTTCTATGGTTGTAATCGCTGTATATCAGTTCTCCCTGTCTGGTCACTGTAATGTCAATAGGGTATGTCATACATTTACTGGTGACAGTGTCTTATACAGCTCCATGTATGTCCATACAGGTTATCATTTTGTCTATTCCATTAATCCAAGCTTTATCTGATTCTACACAGGCCACTTTCAGTACGTTTTTAACATTTGTTGGAATGTTAGCAATCACTCTTGCTTCCTCAAAGAATTCCTTTACAGATAAAGAGGATACTTCATCTGTAAGACTGGATAGTGATGTTTGTGTCAGTGTAGCCTTGTATTCTCCTAATTCTATGCTGAGTTCTCTCCCTTGGACTGTGTTTGCTTGAAGAGGGAGCAATGGTAAATTGGGTATTTGCTGAATGTTCCTGTATTCCTTCAGTTTGGATAGGTGATTGTTGACATCAGAAACTTTGTTTGATTTTAGAATTTCTTTGTTTTCTTGAACAGTTTGGATCATACTAGAGTTCTGACTTCTGAGTTTTGACTGACATGATTTCAGAGTTGTAATATGATGATCTCTGAGTGACTGGATCAGGGATTCCATTTTGTTAAAGATGTTGTCCACCTCTAGGTGCCATTGTTTTCTGTAATCAGTGGTTTGTTTATGTAAACCTGCATAACGGGCCATGAATTTGGTAATCTTGTTTTCCGTGCCATTGTCCTGTGTTGTGTTCTTTAGAATAATGCCTTTAATTTCTTCTGTTTCTCTTTTAATTTTTTCTCTCTTGGCAGCAGTGAGGTCTGCTATTTCCACAATGTCATGACCTTTATGAATGGGTCCTGAAAGACATTTGATGTAGACTGGGTTATCACATTGTTGACAGTAGGCCTCACATCTCTGGTGGGAGTGAATTGTACACTAATGGAACACAAGCTGTACTGTACGCTTTGTGAAAGGAACTATGTCATGCTTCATGGAATTGAAGCTGTCGACATGTTTGTTGATGCAGTTTCCACACAGACCGACTTGGCAGCTGTTACAGAATTGCTGGACAGGTTTGTCAAAAAGGTCACAAGTTATGAGTTCTTGTGCCTGGCTGATGGCAGTGCTAATTTTTTGTAGCCTCTACAGAATAAATTTGAAGTTTTTATATCATGTGTCACTAATTTTATGTTGAGGAGAAACAACAGGTCTATAAAAACCAATTTCAGTTGGGATAAGGCGGGACAACAAAACAAAAATTAAAAATTATTTTCTTAACAAGCAAAGAGGGGTTCATCAAGGTTATTACTAGTAATTGTTCTCGGAGTTAACCATAACCTATGTGATTGTAAATATGTATAGGCAAGGGGCAGATCTAGTAATTTTTGAAGGTGTGTGTCTAGGGGGGGGGGCAGGTTGATGTCTCCACCTGGAAGCTACTGGGACATTTTCAACCTTTATCTTTATTCAATTAAATGTATTCATAATGTAAGAAGAGAAAAATTTATTGCATACCTCTTTTCATGAATTTTTATGTATACTTCTTACAGTCAGTTACTTCAGAAGATAGTCCAAAAATAGCATAGCTTAAGTTTGTTGTAATCTTCGGATAATACCAAAGTGTGACCTTGCATTACCTGTGGGTGGTCGGGGTCCGGAGCCAGGGTTCTGAAGTTACGCGGAGAAAAGCATATACGCAAAACTTTATCCAGCGAACAGAAAGGACACAGAATGAACTACCAGTGTTTGTTTTATTCAAAATATTAGACAAATATATTTGTATATATATTTTATATATAATACAGAAAAAAAAATATTCTCTCTGCAGGAATGAATGGGGTGTAACGTTTTTACAAATTACAAATGATTAATAATTAGGTCTGTTTAGGATTCCTTCCTAAGAATCACGTTTATATCGAATTAAACAAACTTCAATTACAATGGCACTTGAACCAGAAACTGACTGAAATTCACTATAAATGTATATACTTTTTCCTCGGTCCTATCTGGATAATGATTAATAAATAAACAAGATAAAAATGAACTATAACGACAGAATCACCAACAATCAAACAAATAATCAAATATAATATTAACCTATCTCTGTAGTTGCAGACTGAGTGGTATAACGAGCAATTCTGTTGTTTCCCGACACATTCTGCAATACCCTAAAAGACACCCTAGTAATTATAAGTCACAGAGACACCTTTATTAAAAGTCACCAAGACACACTATAATGAAGTCACCAAGACACTATATAAACTAAGTCACCAAGACACTAGTCACTGAGACACTAATAAGGAACTAGGTTCCTGAGCTGAGTGGTCTAACACACAATTATGTTGTTTCCCGACACAGCCCAAGAACCTAGCCCAAGAGGTGTTACTCAAGCGATGAGTAACGACCAAGTAACCGATTGCTTCATGGGTGTCTGTATTTATACTCTTTCTACTTACTGATGATTATTTGATGAGTCTGGAACTCTGATTGGCTATAATGTAAGCGCTGATTGGTCAAATATAAAATGATTCGATTGGTCGATTTCACAGGCTTTTAAATCCACCATCAATATTCTATATCATTACAGGGGGAGGGAGTGTTGCAAAGTGAAACCCCTCCCCGGATCCACAAATGTTGCCAAAATTACCCCTCCCGACCACTATCGACCTGTAATATTTCAGTTTTTTCTTTGGTTTCTAATAATCTATAGTTTGAAGATATTCTACGTCTTCGGATAACAGATAGATTCCTTACTGACATGTGAACAATGAACAAAGACTTAGAAAGAAAGTTTAATTTTATTTCATACAAACCTGATATGACTACTTCGTGTCAATCTATTCTTCATGATATGTTTAATTCAGTTAAAATCTTCGTATAACTTTCGGTTTGACTTTATTCTTCCTGGTAGCTTGTTGTCACGTGACAGGTGTTTACCTTTGATACCTAGCTACCTTTATCCAGTTTCTGTACATGTTAGGCTGTTTAAAATTAGTTTTACAGTAAAGGGTCACCGGCGCACATAGGTTTTAGCGAAAAGGGCATTTTGAAGAAAAAAACGAAACAAATCAATATAGATGTTTTTTTAGTTTCCATACTGGTTTACTAGCTATATAAGAACTGAACAAAATGATGAATTAGCACTCGCTTATCAATCAGTCAAAAGCATATGACATGTTTCCTTGTTATTAAATGTAGTGCAGCCTGTGAAACATGGAATGGTAATTACATACTGCGACTATACATTTTCAGTCATTTTTAGGGGTACTTGTCATAAAGAGAATATGAAAAATCTCAAAAATACTTATAAACATCTTTGGTCGTCGACTTTATTAACTGAACAGTATTAAACAATTATAAATTATTTTTATTCCATTCACCTGATCCCACCTCTGATGTTTCGGGGGTCCGTGCTTGCTCTGCTCTTATTTTGTATTGTTTTATGGACTTTGAGACTGAATACTGTTCGTTATCTCCATATCCTTCATCTAAAAGATTAGTCCACATTTAAGAAAAAATAGGCAATTGAACTCTATTATTTTTAGTCAATTTTCCACCATAAATTTGTCCATATTTTTCAGAAGTCTTTGTCTGAATGTTTTCAAATTTTCATATGATGAAGAACACACCCAAATGATTACAAAAAGTGAATAAAATATTCACCTTTCCCCTCAAACTAACGAGAAATAGGTTATTTACCGATGTTACATTTCTTGACCTTTTTGCACTTACACAGGATTTAATTAATAAATGACTTTTTGGGGTTACTTTCAGATTTACAATTTTGGTATTTATCCGAAATTGTATTTTTCTATTTAGAAAGATCATATTTGATAGAAAATTTGTAATCAAACACCAGCCATATTAGTTAAAAATAATTAATACATAATTAACGAATAAATATAAATAGGCATGCATTTCATGATAGACATCAAACAATTACACACATTATATAGCACATCTTTGACTCAAGACACATTTATCAAGATATTAGTGATACTGAAATTTAATTTTGAGGATTTTTGCATTCCCTCAAAATAGTTGCATATTCCATTCACAAGTTATCACAAAGAATGTAATTTCATTACATGAGAATGGATTTGTCCACTTAAGGTCAAGATCTATAATAAACGAAAGGTGCCTACAGGTTTCTCTTCGCACATGCATATCACTGTGATTGTTGTGTGCAGATTTTTTCAAACAATTAATATAATCGTCCAAGTGCTTGTCCCTGTTTGATTTTGATTTAAAATTACTTTTGTTTCGGACTAAGGATTCGTCATTGTAATCCGAATTCTGAAAGAATTCCCGGAGTCTTAGCTTCCGACAAAATTCCTCTGTGTCTTTGATTACATCTACGTCGTCTTTTTTAAGCGTAGGGGTAAATTTTAGGCCCCTTTTTAGTAATCCTATTTCATCCGTAGAAAAATCCCTTTGAGATAGATTTATAATTTTGGGGTCGATTTTAGATGTTTTTTTCTACAGGTATTGGAAGCGGAATTTTTTCATGTGGTGTTTGCGAAATTGGCCCTTCCCTAAAAAAGAATTACTCCCTTCATATTGCTGGTTTGTATTTCTGTTATAAGAAATGTTAGTGCTCATTTTGTTTTGCTGTTTGTTGTTCCAAGGTTTTTTCCACTGGACGTTTTCCTTGTTGACATTTGTTTGTGCTTCGTAATTTCTTTTGTTGAAAGAATTCATACGGTGTTCATTTCTCCCCACGTTTTTGTAGTGTGGTTTATTTGGTTCAGAAAAATCACCTCTGTGTTCTGAACGGAAGTAGAATTCGTTTTGATCAACAGAATTTATGTTAGGTCGTTGACCTTGACGTCTGTTTTTCTTTTGTTTTTGAATTTCTGTTTTTTTTTCATTATGCTTGTTCCAAAATTTTTCTCGTAGTCTACAAGCCATTCTTGTTTCGATTGTAGCAATTTTTCTGACTTGAATTTTTCTTGATCGGTTTCTTTTTTCCAGAGGACAAAAAGTTTGTCTTGAGTAGCGTCATCAAATCTGTTTGTGATCTCTTCATACATACGTTGGTCACAATCCTCAAACTTGGCCTTGTACTTTGGAACCCGAATGCGTAAAAGTGTTATTTCCGCTTCAAATCTTTGAAT